CCGTTCGCTCCTATTATCGCAAGTCCCGTAATCTATGCCATTTCGCTTGCATGAGAATACGGCTAGCAGCTTGCTGCTCTAGGTACGAGCCCACTAGTAGATAAACCATTATCGCTATCGATGCAGATCTTCCGTAGTCTTATTCCAATCTCAGCCCTAACCCGGAAAGCCCCCTCTAGATACTGCATCCCGCCAATGGTCCCTACATGTATCTACATACTCTACAGTATCAGAAATGGGGGTAAAAACTGATACCGCATCAGTACGGCATTGTGAGAATATGCCGCTTTATCTCCGTATCTTGACGAAGTATACGGTAGTGTTACCGCAATGGTACGGCATTGCCAAAGACCGCGGTAGTCTTCTGTCACTGTACTCTACACGCACGTTGATAGGCCCCTCCCCCGACCTCCGGTGTCTGTGAATCCTCTTTCATCCTACGAGTTCCCCAGAGTGCCTCAAAGACCTCCTCCGAATACGACCCCACGCTTACTCTCAACACCTCAATTCTACCTCATAATTGCTAACCCTCTATAGCTGCCGGGGTGATACCACATCCCGAGTGATCCCCCATGCTCCACACCGGGCAACAACCACTCCGCACTGCTCTAACCAATCCGATTCGTCACTCTACATGCAACACCCCAGCAGGGCCATCACTGACGAGGTTTATCCATCCGGAATAGGGAGCTCAATTGCAATAATTATGTATCTACAAATCCGATGTTCCGCTCCAGTAAAGGACATTATTTGGAACACGTGCGGCTACTGCATCAAGCCGGCAAAGGCATTAAGACTCGGTTTATAAGTTTGTGGAGGTGCAGTCTCGGACCTCGGTTCCCCCCGGTCTCTGGCAGTAGCGGTAGCGGCCTGGCCTCCCCACGACGATCACCGAAGTGGAGTAAACGGGAGAGGCGCATTGAAACACGCTGCCCCAGATCCAGAGATACCTACTGTATGTTTGTTATTTTCCCGGATAGAAGATAAACCAATAGTTATGATACGAAACTAGAGTATAGTAACTACCAAAACACCACAAGTGTATATGGGTATGGATCTAGCAAAAGGTACCACCTGTGTAGCAACGCAATGAGGCATCACAAGTTCGCTACCGCACTGTACAGCCTCTAATTGATGGGGACAAATGATTGAAAATCAATTCTGGGCCCTCACCAAGGGTTCTCTGAGCTTTAGGAAGATTTGGAGTTTATCCGTTGTGTGGTTCTAGTTCATAATAAGGATTTGGCTAGCTGTGCGGACGGTTTTGCTATATCGACACCCATATATGATATGCATCAAGATATATATAACCTAAAAAACAAAAAGATTCTAGCTATATATCGCGCCGAGAGATCGCCAATGAGAAAATACAAAAAAATAAGCCAATTGCGGGAAGACATAAATACTGTTACAAATCACTTTTTTGGCCCCCTTTGTTTGCTCGGGTCATGCATTCTCACTCGATAGACACCGCTGATGGTGTTGTTGGTGCTTACCCTTGCCCTTGCCCTTTATCACCATAAGGGGAGAGGGAGGTGTCTATCTGGGAACCTCCGGTCGGGATCTATTTGGCCTTGAGCTTGAGCTGTGCCCGCCTGTTTGCCAGCGCGGTCTGGGTGGCCATAAACAGCGCATCCTTAAACGCGAACAAAAACGCCGCCGTGAGCACGCTCTGCACCAACTTCGGCCCAATCCCTACACCACCACAGTCAGTCAGCACATCCCCCCAACCACCCCTCCCAGGAAAGACTCACCATTATACAACCCCGTCCACCCCTCCTCCTTCACAATGCTCCTAATCCCGCCCAACAGCCCCCCCGCCTTCTTCTCGCCCTTCGCCGCAACATGCAGCCTGCTCTTAACCGTGATATACGGATACGTCAGCGCCGTCGCCACCAGCTTCCCGAGCGCCCCCAGCACAAACGCGTCCTGCGGCGTCACGCTCCGCTTGCGCCGCCGCTCAAGCACGTTCTTGAGCTGCTCGTAGATGGTGTACTGCAGGATGGGGTTCATGACGAGCACCAGCGCCGGCAGCACGCCCTTGAAGAAGGCGCGGATGCCGCCCTCGCTGTACAGGTCCTTGATTGTGCCGAGCGTGCTCGGCGCCTTTGCGGGCGCGCTCACGGCGCCCGTCGGGTCTTGGAGCGTGGGGAGGGTGCTGGTGGTGGAGACGGTGCTGCTGGTGGAGCCGGTGCTGGGGGAGCGCTTGCGTGCCGTCATGCGCGTGTTGACGACCCAGATGGGGTTTGTGAGGAGGACGGTGGCGGAGCCGGCGAGCGCGCCGGCCATCATGGATTCGAGGGTGGAGAGCTTGTTGCGGCGGGGGGATTTAGACGCTAGCGCGGCCTTCTCGAAGGCCGAGCGTGACCATTCGTACCCTGTGGATTGTTAGTGGGTGGGGGGAGGAGAGGAAATGGGGGGGGGGGGGGGGGGAGGGGGAAAGACAGTAGTAGTAGACAAAGTTTGTGACGGAGATGCCGAAGACGGCGCTGTCGAGGCCGGCATAGAGGCCCGAGATGCCTTCGCGCTGGATGATGCGGCGGACGGCGTCGGGGACGGAGGACTGGGCGCGCTTGGACTCGACTTGGGAGCGGGTGGAGAGGGTGATTAGTGGGTAGGTGAGGACCATGGAGAGGACTCCACCACCTGTTTGGCCGTCAGTATTCTGGCATTGTAGTGGGAGAGAGCTAGAGAGGCTGGGCAGAGGAGGGGGATGTACCAGCGCCTGCGACGGCGTGAAGAACCTAGAGAGAAAGAGAGGCATGTCAGCATGCGTTTTGCGGGGGAGGGGGGGGCCTAGTAGTTTGACAGCGGGTGGGGGTGCATACATTATCGTTTGTGGACATTGCAGACTACACTGTGTATCAAAAAGCAGCACAATAACGAGAGCAGCAGTACGAGCTGTCACAGGACGGTGGTGGAGGTAGTGGAAGTGTTATGTAGGACCTGAGGCGGAGAGGGACGCCAGCACACCGTACATGTAATAAAGAGAGAGAGAGAGAGAGAGAGAGAGAAAGAGAGAGATGCTCGGTTCTTCGGGCGTGGGTGCTGTGGGCTGGATGCTGTGGGCTGCGATCCTACACTTCCCCGTGCCTGTGCTGCCTGTGCTGCCTGTGCTGCCTGTGCGTGCTGCTGTCCGTCGTCTTTCTGTAGCTTGTGATCGTGTTGAGCGCCGAGTGGCGCTAGGCCGGGGCGGGACAGCCGAGGTTGCGGGGAGGAGACGTTGCTGTGTGGGGTTTGTGTGTGCATCTGCACGAGGAGCTTTGGGGATAGCTGAGCTCTGCGTCGGAGGCTCTCTCTGCAACAACAACGCTCGTCTGTGGAGGTACATGACTTTGACCCTCTCTCAATTGACCAAGCTGAGGGCTACTCTAAAGTACATGTAGTCTACAGCTATTACCGAGTTTTAAACGATCACAGAACGATCTCTTAACTTCGAATTCCAGCCGTGTTTGACAGCTGTAAATGCCATGCAGTCTAGAGTAGAGTACAGTGGTCTGGATTACTCAAAAGGCCCCAAAGTGCATACATACATGTACTCACTGCATCTGTCCAGATTGGACCGCACATCAAAAACCGGGGTTTCCAACAACACACAGGACAGGCATAGGGAAGGGCTCTATGCAAACAGAAACCATTGGAGAAATCGGTAATGGAGGACGGGTCTTCGGCTTAGTTATATTATTAAGGACCCATAATTTGGTAGTCTACAGCGTGCACATTGTGTCTGCGTTTGGAATGCTTACACAGACATAAAGCTCAGAAGATCAATGTCAACTACATGTAACTGATCATGATCTGACTCGAGACCAGGGTTAGGGGATGAATGTTGCCCTGCTCACAGAGTCTGACTCGGGACTAGGACTAGGGTTAGGGATAATTCTATCTCCAGCAGCTTTTCACTTTGTGTGTCTTGAGTTGAATAAGGTCCGGTGTATATTCTGACATCTACCAAAGCCTTTGCAGCTAGTATGACGTACAATACCGTAGATACGTAATATCTATTCTCCTAGAAGCTGAAATAGTCTGTCGGTGGGACTTTCAATTGATGTGCACTTTCTTCAAAAATGCATACGACCCTGCAAGCTGGCGTATACGCCAACTTTTCAGCACACAACCCCTGCACACTTGTAAGTACTCACCCTTTTCACGGTCGGAGCGAAGACTTGTCTGCGATAAAAGTGGGCGGGCCGCGCCCTTTATATACACACACACCCGTTCCCTCCCCCCCCAACCTCCTGGCACCCACCCAACGCTCCCAGCAAAGACACCCGATACCTACATGTATTGTAGTTACATGTGCATGCAAGTAGAGAGGATTTCATCCTCTTGAGTTAAGTTCTCCATCTTTAACAAGAGAAAAAGAGCCAGACGGGCGAGGAGTGCAAACTTTTGCCTACCATAATAGCTGGAGCCACAAAGACGGAATCTCGAAACGGAGGTGAAACAAGCTTCTTTAACGCGTGCCAAGTAGAAGACAACGAGCCTTAGTAATCCAGGATCTGGATGTCGATGATTAGATTAGCAGGCGCCGGCGTCGGATCAGTTGCCGAGCGGCCCTTTTCTGGTGTTTGCCCAGGCAGGAGGCACAAGAGCCTTGGGAACCAGTCAGCCACTGCGGCTCAAAGTGCTCCATGGACGGGGGGGGCGTTGGGCGACATGTGGTGTGGTGTGTCGTCGGCGCGGCGGGACTGTTCCATATTGCGTGCACGACCAGCAGCAGCTGGGCCAAGCAGAGTAAGGTAAGGAAGAACAACAGTAAGAACTACATGTAGCTAGGTAAGCTCGATCGGGCTTCTAGACATTTCGCCCTTCTCGGATCAGCCCTTCTGCAACACTGCATACCTGGCCTCTCAAACACCTCACGCAGATACATACTTAAACATCAGTCAGTGCCTTCCTTACTGACAGCAGCTGGTCTGGTATCGTGAGATTCTTTTCGTTGGGGACATTGTTTAGCTCTCTCTCCACTGTTTCCCCCTTTAAAGTTTTTATTAGCCATGGCACAGCCTGCGCCGACAGCTGCCAGGTCTCCTGCGTATGCAAAGAGCATCCTCAAAGTGCTGTTCATATCTCTACTGTTCGACTTGGTAGGTCCCGTACATCGCATATATAGCTGCCGAGCCCTGGCAATATACGAATGAACCCAGTGTTAACAACAGCTCTAATAGCTATCATTCACCCTCATCCTCCCGCTATTCCCACGCCTACTGGATTTCTACAAGGCCCAGCCCAACAATGTCGTCCTGGAATCGATCTTCAACACCCTCAACGCCTTCAAGGCGTCCTTCCACCGCCCAATCTCTTCGCGCTTCGACGTTGTTCTCCTCGGTGGAGCTCTGGGCTCTCTATTCTCGTTCCTCCAGGCTGTGTCCAGCCCAATCATTGGCTCCCTGAGTGACCGCTATGGGTATGTCTAATATAGCTCCTCACCGCAATTGTAACCGCGGCCATTAACAGCCCCCCAAAGGCGCCGAACAGCTCTCCTCTACTCCATGATTGGCAACATCCTCTCCGTCCTCCTCTGGGTCGTCGCCACCGACTTCCCCACCTTCCTCGCCTCCCGCATCGTCGGCGGCCTCTCGGAGGGCAACGTCCAGCTCGCAATCGCAATCGCAACCGACGTCTCGACCGCCGAGACCCGTGGCGCTACCCTCGCGCTTGTCGGCGTCGCATTCAGCATCGCATTCACGTTTGGGCCCATGATGGGGGCGTATCTGGCGAGCAAGACACTGACGCTCAAGATCTCTGAGAAGAACCCGTTCGTGACTGCGGCGCTGTTCTCGCTGGCATTGTTGGTGGTGGAGACGGCGTTCCTGTACTGGGAGCTGCCGGAGACGCGGCCGTTGCGGGAGGCGGCGGAGAAGGAGGAGAAGAAGAAGACGGTGGCGGAGGAGAGGACGGCGGCGGATAAGGCGAGGAGTGATGCGTCGGGGATCACGCTCTTGAATGCGACGCATCTCCTCTTTCTGCTCATCTTTAGTGGGATGGAGTTCTCGCTGCCGTTTATGACTTTTGACTTGTTTAACTACACCTCCACAGACTCGGGGAAGCTGTTGGGCTTCATTGGGCTGCTGGCATCGGTCCTGCAGGGCTCGTTTGTGCGCCGCGCGAAGCCGGCGCTGGTTGTGAAGACTGGGTTGGCGAGTGCGGCGATCAGTTTCTTCCTGCTGAGCCGTGTGAATAGCCAGAGGGAGCTATATGTAGCGGCCGCATTCCTGGCAGTAACGAGCGCAAGTGTTGTGACTGGCTTGACCGCGTTGGTTAGCTTGAAGATTGGCGAGCAGGAGAGAGGAAGAGTGTTGGGCGGGTTCAGGTCTGCTGGTACGTATATCCAACACTCTACAAAGCATCCGCCTGGCAATGATTGCCATCCACCGTCGGCGGTGCCGTTGTTTCGTTTCCTCGCGGCTGGGCTAGGCTAGCTAGCTAGTCCCGGCGGAGTTGAAACTCGGGGACCCGCAGATCATTTCTAGAGGGCTAACGAGATGCAACTAAAAATTTTAGGCCAGATTGGACGAGCTACTGGACCGCTACTTTTCTGTAAGTCTTTTTTTTTCTTTCTTCTATTTTTATCCCCTCTCCACGCCGTCGTTTTGAAAAGAAAGGCTAGAAAAAAAAAAAAAAAAACTACTCGGAGGAGCTGGGTGAGATAGTGAAACTTGGGATTTGGAGCTAAGTTGTTGGGCATGCAGGTACCCTCTACTGGTGGGCAGGACGAGAAACTGCCTATGTCGTTGGTGGGACGGGAATGGTGGGTGTCGCGACACTTGTGTGGAGGGGTTTGGGGAAATGATTGGCCGTTTGGATACCGCAAGAGCTCTTTTTCTCTCTCTGGGTTATCGTAGCATCTAGGCCACTAAGTGAGGTTGGTGGGTATGTAGCGTGCATTCTACTTACTTTACTATTACATGGAGTACCTAGAGCTAGATGTGTGTGCGGGGAGGAGAAGAAGAAGGAGGTGGAGGGGGAGGAAAGATATCAGATACCATATGCATGCGTAGCAGCACTGTTATTTAGTTAGTCGTTAATTCTAGACTGTTTCAAGACCTCCCGTCTGTGTCTATGTCCATCCGGGTCCCTGGGGAAACCTGCGCATCTCGAAGCTTCCGCATCTTCCCTTCTCGAGCTCTGTTGGGCCAATTAACCCACCTTTCCACCTTCCCTCTTAATCCTTCCCGGTCACGCAAAATTAAAGAAATGGAAGTCACCGCTCTCACACTCATTCTGCGCTGCCATACTCTCATACATACATACTCTGCTTGCCGTGCTCTCACCTCCCGTGAGATCATCCATGCCGGCAGGACAAGGCAAGGCTTACTCCCCATTCTTGAGCTTGCCTGGTATGATGTTGTATATATGCACCTGCGTGGTGCAGCAAGCTATGTCCTAGGTCTATGGCTGTATTCTAGGTACTTACTCTACAGCACATAATGAAAAAATCTACCTACATGCCTACATGTACCTGCCTGTTATCGGATATCTTGCGCGGCGGGGAAGGTGCGGTACTACAAATGAATTAGAGTTGGTGGGATTGTGCGTCCGTCCTATCCCATCCTGGCTATCTTATCCTGACGGACGGACCGGAGACTGTGGGTGGCAGGAGGAGGAGGATGAGGAGGAGGATGAGGAGGAGGAGGAGGAGGGGGAGGAAGAGGTCCGGGCTCGGACACATGTTTTTTTGTTTTATTTTGTTTGATGTGGTATGTGCTGTAGATTTGCAGGTAGATTGTGGTTATGGGTGAGGGAAAGAGAGTTCCCAATGCCGAGTACCGGAAGATTGCGCGGTGAGAGACGGATGGTATGGGATGGTATGGGATGGGAGTACGTATGCTCATCTCATTTACCTACACTGTGCCAGCCAGGGAAAAAGAAATCTCCCTCTCTCTCTCTAGCTAACCCCCCCGATTTCACCAAAATTGAGAGAGAGGGGGGGAGAGGGTGGCGGGCGGGCGGCGTGGCGATAAGGGAAATGATTCTTGATTATGAGCGGTCAAAGAATTCGAAGCTTCTTGGGAGGCTTCCATAGTACAAGCTAGCTAGCTAGCCCACTACTGCTCTAGCTACATGTAGCTATGGAGTATAGTAATTGCAGACTCGCACGGTACCTACCGTGCACCTCTCTCTCGCTCTCTCTCTCTCTCTCTCTCTCTCTGAGCTAGTGGTAATCTACGCCCCCAACGGACGTCCCCAGACCCAAACTTCTCGAAGATGATCAGAACACCCGCCATGGAATGATCATAATATCAACAATATCGCCCGGGTCGGGCTAGTAACTCGGACCTACACGGAAACCACCGTCGTGGAAACATCCAATTGCAAGCCACAGGGGCGCGCTAAGACGCCTCACTATTTTATGTAGAATATTGTACCTAGGTACCATACCCAGTCCCCATATATTGAGGATTGAAGGTTCCCCTCCTCATCCCCCCCCTTCTACATACATGCAGGTACTCCTTAGGGCTAGGGCCGAAGCGGCAACGATAAACACGGGCAGGGGGGCAAGTGATGCGATGTCAGCTCGATCTTGCTCTACTCTACTTAATTCATTCCGAGTAGGTACATATGAGTGAGTGAGGCGGAAATTTCGATGCCATTAATTGGGGGGGATTGCTCAGCTGTGGGTGGGCGGGTAAGTAGACTCGCAAAGTACCTGAGTTAGTGAGTACATAAAAGTGGGCGGCATAGATATTTGGGTAAGGGGGCGCCGGGGGGGGAGGGGGGAGGTAACCTGGTGATGGGATGGGATGGTACGGGCGTCCGTTCGTTCGTTCGGGGGGATCCTGGATCTGCGGAGCGCGGGAAAGTCTTGTTTACAGATTGTGCTGGGGGGCGAGGGGGGGCCAATGACAGCTTCGAGGGACGTTGGGGGATAAGAGCGAGTGAGATCTTCTGCTACAACCGCGGTTGTACTAGTAGTTAGCTAACCAGCTGTACTAAGACTAAGACTCTGCAGCAGTAACCAATTATCATCAAAATCATGGCAGCGATTCCGATTATGATGATGCTACTATATGTGAAGAAGATTACCATCATTGGCCCTCAAATTGCGCGCAATTAAAAAAGGTCCCCATGTCTCGTTCGGGTGTGAAACGCTTAGATTAGATAGGGCCTGTAGGTACAGTCGTGTTAAAAAAGTCCTGTCAATCAGCACCACACGAAATATTAAAATCCTTCCCACTCAACAACCATTAAGTGAATTAGATTAAAACAAGATAATTATGCATCATAGACATCCAGAATACAGTTGTTCTTGCCTACAAAATTATATCTGTATTTCTGCTCTTGTGACATAGTGATTAGTGAATACTATAATTTCGATACTTCTAAGAGAATAGCTACACATGCACTAGCCATAAAATTTCTGTGGTTCTATCAAAGATATTCAGGGTCATATACTCGAGATAGAAATTTAGACCTTGAAGAAAGCTCTTATTGGTGTTGAGATATTGTGAGTAAAGAATTTGGGCCCAAATCACCATTTACAGCTGAAATTTCTCATTGAAGCAACACATTTAATATTAATTGCAAATTCACAAGACTTCAAAGTATAATAAATAGTATCCTAAATATTCTATCCTCTTAATTTCAAGCCCTTTAGACTCATAGTTGTTGAGGAGAGCTGTGTTCAATGTGCCGCTATCGCGTTGTCATCCACTGACAAGACTTGTTTAACACGGCTGTACACCACCACAAGAGAGAGATTCGGACCCTTGGACTCGCCCACACCCACACATGCTCGATCCAGGGTCCTTTGCAAGCCCGCTACCGAAGTTGTTCATTACGCGTGCATGGAACCTGAAACACCTAGACATTTTTTTTCCCGCCTGGTCAGATCCCCCCTGGCCCTGGCGGTGGTGGTTTGGTTTGGTTGCCCCTCGCTCGGGTTCAAGTCAACCAAGTTGGTGCCTTCTACTCTACTAAACGGTTCCACATTGGGACTAGCACGTAACCGCTGGGTAAGTATCGCATACAATACTGGGTTCAGGTATTCCACCAAGGAGCCGTTGTATATATTGCTCGGTTTGTCCCCCCTTCCCTTTCTCTTCTTCACTCAGCAGACTTTGATATCTTTTAGTCTTCTTCTTTTCACGGCCTTCTTTTGAAAAAAGCAATCACTCTTTAAGTGCTTTCTTCAAAACCAGTCACTCCTTTCAACATCACCCCTCTTAACGTCCATTGTGAATTTTTTTCAAGTCAACGCCTAGTGCGCCACTATTCCAGGAGAAACAAACATAAAGCAGTGCTTTTCGGGTCTTTGAAAGTCAAATAAAAAAAGCAGAACCCTCATTTTTTTTTGACGACTTTGCTTGCAGTTATCCAACTTCGTCTGGAGCATATTTACGAAATCCAACTAGCAACGTCAAATCAACTTTTAGGCAGCGCCTTTTTTATTACTAGCAGATTTAGCAAATATGCGTTACTCACTTACCACCCTTGCCTGTGCTGCTCTCGCAGCTACCACTTTGGCCGCCCCCGTCATTGATAAGCGTGCCCGTGATGTCTTGATCTTCACTGACTACACCACTATCATGTAAGTTCTTCTATATTTCACCTATAAAAAGGCGTGTTTTCAATATAAATTCTAATATCTCTCTTTTCTTAGTGTCACCAAAACCATCACCACTGGAGAACCTCAAGCAACAGCAGCAGAGGTTCAGGCCGAATGGGTCAACGGCGGCCACGCCGGCCGCAAGTCCTCGACCTATGGTGCCCCCGTATACACCACCCGCACCACTACTCTCGAGCCTATCACCATTGGCACCAGTACTACCACCCTCTCTGTAATCACTACCACTCTCGAGCCGGTCGCCTCCACTCCCGCAGTCGAGGTCCCAGGAACTACCACTGTGGTCCAGGAAGTCACCTCTAGCCCTGAGCCAGTGACCGTTATCACCACTATCCAGGATGAGACCGCTGCTGCACCTACCACAGCGGCACCAGTTGAGACCACCTCAACATCTGTCGCTCCCGTCCCAACCACCACTGCAGCGGCCACCACAACCTCTACCGCTGCTACTCCAGCAGACACCTGGGCCGCTGATGTCCTCAACGCCCACAACACCCGCCGTGCCCTCCACGGTGCTCCGGCCCTCACTTGGAATACAACCATGGCTTCCTACGCTGCGGGCGTCTCCAAAGGGTGTGTTTTCGAGCACTCCGGTGGGCCATATGGCGAGAACTTGGCGGCCGGATACACCACTGATGAGGCCATAGAGGCGTGGTATGCTGAGGGTGCCAGCTACGACTATGCCGCTGGGCTGTTCTCAGAGGCCACCGGTCACTTCACTCAGCTTGTTTGGGCCAGTGCTACTCAGGTTGGATGCGGTATTGCGACCTGCGGAACCAGCACCACTCCTGGTGACATGTTGACTTGCGAGTATGATACTGGTTAGTAGATTATTTCCTTTTCCCTTTCCCCGAATTTAGGGTTTCTCTTTGCGGTAACTAATATATATTGTTCTGTAGGAAACGTTATCGGATACTTCGTTGCGAATGTTCTGCCACTTGTTTAAATATGATACCTGTTTGCGTTTAGTGAATAAATTTTAACTTCTTCTTTCTTCTTCAAGCGGTACTGGTGACATGGTATTATCAATTGAGCTAAGCTGCCCGAATGCCCACAACTTCGGCGCTTACTTTTTTGAGGTTTCTGGGAAACTTGGTTCCTTTTCTTTTGCGTGTGCCTGATTCTGATTTATTATTTGGTTTCAGGCCCGTTTAACTTATTTTCGCTGTTTATATTTTATAACTAAAAACTTATATTTTTTGTGGATGACTGTCCATCATGATGTACCTGAATCGGAGAATTAGACTTTCGGGGCAGTTTGAGAACTGCAACCCGAGACGAATAGACTATTGTTGCTTTGTTTTGGTATACGTAACCTCCCGAGTGTTTCGGTTGGGACAATCGTTATTTTGAAACATGGCTTTCAAGATCTCTTCATATAATCATTCCCTTCCGTGATGGACTTGACAATGCCGTGGTCGGCCGTGAAGCGGAAAGATATCTGGGCCTATCGTCGAAGTCAAACCTTGGTAATTGACATTGCCGTGTGTGACATTCTTTGGGTTCTTGATAATGCCCACCTTTGGTGGCCTCAGTCATCATCGATCAGCGTACGACCCAGTAGACTCTTGATCTTGGTTCCGCTAATTATTTCCTTCCCCCCGCTGGGTTGCTAGCATCGTAGTAGAAGCCATGGATGGCATTGTGCCTAGGATACGAGAGTTACTGTGCTTGCAATTGTGGAGTGGGCGCCTGATGGCTGAAACCCATCGGGGAGAATAAATAAACGCCTTTGCGTGAGGTACGACATGAGAAACGCCCAATAGCGCCTTGCGTGATTGTGAGACCGCGGTTGGAACAAGACCAATGGATGTGCGAGAAGAGAAGCCATGTTTGTGTCACCAGCGCTGTTACTATTTGAATCCATCAGTGTTGCACTGCAACAATTGCGTGACATTGAAACCAGTGTGACAGATCAGCCGGTTAGGTTACATACGAGAGATCAGGAATGTTGAGTAACTGCGTTTCGGGAGCCGACGAGAGATTGGCCGGGAGAGGAAATGGTTACAATTTATTGAAATAAGCTTATAAAGTGTTGACTCCTGGTACAGGTTTCAGGTAGATGTCTATAGGGGAATTGTAGACGTAGGATTCCAGGGTTTGAGGGCGGCTGCAGGGATCTGGAGAGCGGTTTTGTTAGTACTGACACCGCTCGAGCGATTTCGTTAATGGCTTCGATGGGAAGGGAGGGAGAGAAAGGGAAGGATAAGATGAACTGTGTGATGTATGGCCTGGGCTTCATGGATCTGCCAGCTTTCTCGAGCGGGTTAATGATTGCGAGATGCTAGGAAACCCTATCCCATGTCTCACCGCAACATGTACATAACGTTTATTCCACTCTATTTTTCTTTCGTCTAAAAGTTTACCATTCACTATGCTAATTTTGCTATCTTTTTTTAGTTGTTTACTATATGTATGTCAGAATGTTTCTTTGATGCGAGTGCCCTTAACGATTGGCACCTCAATCGATTTTACTTCTCCAAGGCTGCTTGTAGAATAATAGTAAAAAATACAATCCCTAACCCTAGCCCCAGTCCCGAGTCAAATCCTCTGAGTGGTCCCGAGGTATGTAGGTACATGTACTTTAACTTACCTCAATACTTCCAGCCTTTTCTTAGCGCAGTGAAGCTCTAATGATCTCAAGGAATGTGGCTTTATTCATTTTATTATATAATAGTCGGGAGCGCCCAAAGATAAATTAATTATGCTCTCGTTCATACATCCAAAATCACTCGTCACCTCCCTTATTCTGACATTGCTTGTATGTAGTCATCGCATATTTACACATCCCAGTCAAAAGACAGATAATAGGACGAGTCATGAGTTTCAATTCGACGAAATCCAGTTGACAATTGAAAGGTGTCACGATAAAGGACGGTGGAAGGACTGGGTTACGGTAACCCGCAACTGGGTTCTGTTGAACCTATTCGATATATAGCCGGTCTCGTCTAGCTATTAGAGTGTTTGCATTCTCAATGGTAACCTCATCTCATCTTCATGCCTTTCATCTAATCTTCAACTTCAAGCTGTCAGTCTACTTTCGGTGTATCCCAGACCGATATACAGCCCCCAGTCTCAGCTTGTGTTGAGTTGCTATACGTGATACTTATTTGCATGTACCATGTATAAATATTCGGTCAGGGTTCCTAATAAAACCCCACAGAATTCTCAGACATTGCATTGCATCTGATTGGCTCCCCCGCCGCTCTCGGGCGTCAACCAATCAAATATGGTATTATCGATGCCGATGCCCGCACAAGCGCTTACATTAACTGATGCTCACCGGACACAATGCCGTCATATTAAATTGAGAAATCAATGATACAAAACAGCGAATATACCCTCTCAACGCGTGCGTGAGCCACGGAGTTAAACACAAGAAGAAGATACAAGTTTTTACCCCACATTTGACATGTGTGATATCCCAGTATTCAAACGACCTTTCCATAAGCTCCGTAGGGCTGTAAGCCGCGACAGAGGCACCGACAAACCCGCTGCAGAGAAGTCATCATGGCCGGCATCGGCATCTTCTACCTCTGTAGCAGCAGCATCAGCAGGTGGGGGTAACACGCTCGAAGTTCCTGGACAACGCGGGCGTGAGGACTCGCCGACATTAGTTACAAGTGGACCCGTGGTCGAGAGGAGGATCGATAATGAGGCGCATTTGGATCCAGAAGAGAGGACTGCGAGGTAAATGAATCGTAGCCTCTATTTATATCATGGGTTCTAATAATCAAAAATAGGGTACCAGACCTCGCCTTTATTCAGGCACTTAAATCCCACGAAGATGCCCTATCTCCTTCTGAGAAGGCCGCCTTTCTAGCCTCTAAAACTGAGAATCCGGAAGAGCTTATCAAGCAAGTTCAAGACCTCGATGCTAAACACCATCAGACCAGTCTTTCTCGAGCGGTTGGACCACGGGTCCAGAAGGTGATGGTGGGGATGGATATGTATATGGGAGTTATTGGAGCCTTGATTAGTTATTCTCCGGATGTCTCGGGACTTGTAGTAGCTGGTCTACAGTGTGTTATCAAAGTTAGTTACTTGGAAATTAGTTGTAGAGGTTTTTATAGGAATTTGCTAATAGGACGTAGCTGGGAATTAGGTTTTTCGAATTCTTCGAAAACCTGACAAGTATGATGGAAACCCTAGAGAACCATGTGTCATATCTATCGAAATACGCCATGTCCATGTTTCAGGAGTCCGAGGATATTCGAGAGGTAGGTTCAAAATCATTCGCCTAAGAAACCCTAGTACTGACGATGTGTAGGCACTCGCGCGGACTTATGGCGATTTGTTGGACTTTTTTGCACAGGCAAGACGCGTGTTTACAGACAATGACGGGAATGCAACCAGTAAGCGCGATCCAGCCTTAAGTCGGAAACAAAATAAAATCATACTAAGCCAGAGTTTTCTAGGGTGGACATCTTTTAAAGTCTTCTTCCGAATGACTTGGCAGCCATTTGAAGAGAATTTTAGTGGAATAAAGGCGAAATTCCTTGCAAATGCTGAGATTGTGACAAGAGAAGCACAAGTTCATGGTCTCGTGTCTGCTGATGCAGAGCGGCAGCGGATACTTATGAGAGAGCAGCAGGCAGATCAAGAAAAAGAAGGTAAGATATCCGTGTTAAGTCAATTATAAGGGATAGCATTTTGTTAATATGAATGCAGATAATAAACGACGTGAAGTATTCACTTGGCTATCAGATCTAGACTTTGAGGAAGTGCACGAAACACAGTTTCACAAACGATTCGGTGAAACCGGTAACTGGCTTCTCAACGATACTGGTTTTACGGACTGGCAGAATAGTTCCGATTCTGGTCTCCTCTGGATTCACGGCACACCAGGCACTGGAAAAACAGTTCTCTGGTAACTTCAATCCGTCCCACCACTCCAGGAAGCGTCAATGATAATTCTGACATAAAAACAGTTCTCTCGTCCTCGAGACACTCACTGAGATCACCGCCCTTTCCTCCCCCGGTACCACTGGAATCGCTTTTTCCTACTGTAACTATTCACTTCCTTCCACCCAGCAAAACCCGGGCTCTTTTATTGCAACCTTCATCAAGCAACTTTCCCGCTGTTGTCCCCGGATCCCAGAACCCCTCGAGAAGCTATTCAACTCACACGATAAAAATGCACGCAATCCGAGTTACCTTGAACTGCGCCAGTTATTTCTAGAGGTTGCAGCAGGTTTTGAGAGAATTTATGTGGTAATAGATGCGCTGGATGAGTTTGATCCCCAGCAGAGAGGATCTTTTCTGTTATTCTTGTGCGAGATTATGAAGTTCTCAGGGGGGTGCATAAAATTGTTTATTACGAGCAGGAGGGAAGCGGATATTGAAAGGGCATTTACGGATGTACCTACGATAGCGATTGAGTCGGCAAGGTTAAAGGGGGATCTCGAAGAGTATGTGGAAGGGGAATTGGAGCGGAGATATGAGGAGGGAGCTTTGAGACTTAAAGATCATACAGTCAAAGATGCTATCTTTTCAACCTTGGTTGAGAAGGCAGATGGGATGTAAGTTCTCGAATCAACCTGACTTGTCTATCAAAAGTACCGTAAATAGCTTACACTTCTCAAGGTTTCTCTGGGTCAAATTTCAGCTCGACTTACTATGCTCCCAAACCTCCGACCGGCAGATCCGCAAAGCCCTGCAGAATCTCCCTGCAACGATGGATGAGACATACACACGCTGTCTTGCCTCCATAGAAAAGAAATCCAAATCAGAAATTGAGTTGGCAAAGAAGGTCTTCATGTGGCTGACGTACGCTCAACGGCCTATGAGATTGGGCGAATTATCACAAGCGGTGGCTATGGAGATTGATATAGAAACTCCAGAAGACATAGAAGAGTCCATTGTCAATGACCTCGAGTTACTCGTGACTGTGTGCGGTGGCCTTGTAACGGTGGACATCATGCATAGCATGTATAACCACTCGACTGTGAGGTTTGTACATTTCACAGTGCAGGAGTTCTTAACGGGCCAGGGGAGTGGTAGCTCGGTAATGCTGAAACAGAATTCACAGCTGGCGCATGAGGAGATTGGGCAAATGTGTATAAAATATCTGATGATAATGTACTCTGCGCCGTCCGAAGAACCAACTCTCTGGGATAGTTTCGACACCTACGCAGAAACTTTCTGGCACCACCATATTCGAGCCCTTAATCAACTAAGCGAAGATGTTTGGGTACTTTTGTACAGTTTCATGAACTCTGGTGAACTCTTCTATAGGACCATTCCCCAATTCAAAATCGCAAGCGATAAAACACCGCGGAAGATCTCGCCCTCTACTATCGCAGCAGTGCTTGATCTCCCGTTAGCGTTGAGCCGTTTAATCCAAGAGAATCTCGACAAATCAGATCCCACTGAGAATGGTTTAGAGGCTCTTCATTGGGCGGCGGAGATAGGCTCGCTCAAAGGGATTGAATGGCTGTTAGAACGGGGTGTTGATGTCAATGGAATGAGTGCGTACGGGTTTACACCACTGTACTGTGCCGTCATGAAGCAAAACAACGGGCTAGTAGAGTTTTTGATTAGCAAGGGAGCAGATGTAAACGCAAAAGGAGGCATTTGGGGGAGCTCTTTTCAGGCCGCGGCCAGGAAGGGTAACAAAGCATTGATACAGCTGTTATTGGAGCATGGGGCGGATGTTAACTTAAGGTATGGGGAGAAGGCAGATGCTTTACAAGTAGTTGCTGCCCTGGGTAACGAGGAGCTGGTACATTTTTTACTGGAGAACGGTGCCAATATCAGTGCTCAAGGTGGGGAGCATGGAAATGTACTACAGGCTGCTTTCACCAGCGGTAATGAACAGCTTGTACGGTATTTGCTTGCTAAAGGGGCTGAAGCAACTATCCAAGGAAAGACCGTCGCTGCAACTGCGTTGAGTGGTAATATAGCGCTCGTAGAGCTGCTACTGGAGATGGGATGCGATGTGAATTCGAAAGGTGGGCGCCAAGGAAGCGTACTCAAGTCGGCTATTTGGAGCGGGAACAAGAAGTTGGTCGAATTCTTGATAGAAAAGGGAGCAAAAGTAAACATGCCTGAGGTAGAAGATGGATATTACGGCAGTGCGCTGAATGCAGCGGCTTTGAAGGGCAACGAGGCGATTATCCAACTCCTGTTGACCTCGGGAGCAGAGGTCAATAAACGATGCGGTCACTTTGGAAACCCGCTCCATGCCGCTGTTTGGAACGGCAACCCAGTGGCAATAAAGCTACTCTTGGACAATGGGGCAGACCCCAACTCGAGGATGAAAGATGGGGCGAATGCGTTGCAGGTTGTAGCTTCGAAAGGGCAATTGCAGCTGGTGAAGCTGCTTTTGGAGAATGGGGCAGATCCGAACCTGAAGGGTGGTCCTTGGAAATGCGCCATGGAGGCGGCTAGAATCAAAAATCATGAACGAATAACAAAGTTGCTCCGGGAACATGGCGGTGTGGATTATGTTGCCGAGAGAGATTGAGGTATAATATGATATGCACCCCGCCACCGACAGTGGAATAGCCTGAGAACCCCGCCTTCAAATTCCCGAACACGTATCACTTAAGCTTTCAGTACTAATAGTTTTTGGCGTCGGTTTAGGGCATTTGCGGTAAAGATTTATGGGGCGTGAAAAGGAGATTTTAATGCAATTACATGTGATTCCCCTGAGCATGTCTTTTCTGGATTAGCTATCAGGGTATTTGAAAATGGAGCTTATACGTATTTGCAATTACATAGGGTAATTTTGATAGAAATATCCGATCTGTGTTCTTATCCAAAGGGGCGTTTCACATGACTTGGTATGTCACGGACTAAAGGCGAGTGACTTTTGGTGAACATTCAAGGGTTAGGTTTTCTCTTCTCACTCAGCTTGGTTGAAGGGTCAGCCGCGTAAAGTGGGCGTTAGTCAGGCTGTTTTTTCTGACTCTTCTGTAACTTGGAATAAGAAACCCCAGAGTCGTGACTTTTATAAATTTATTCTTCGCACGTGAAAGAAATTATTCACTGAATGCTGGAGCAGAATAAGCTCCGTTAGTAAAGATCTGGCTCCCGTCCGCGCACGGATCGAGCCGTGAATGATAGTCCATGACATCGCTGCAGCTCAAGCGGTTGAATGGAGGTGATGGTCTATCGGTTATCAGTCGCTATGCTTCTTTTTGTGTTGTGAAGTGTGTGCTGGGAGAGAGGACGGACGGACCTCGGGTGTTGTTGCTGGCTGGCTGGCTGTGTTTTGGGGGTTAACGACGAATCTGGGACACTGGCGAATGACCAAACCAGCCAGCTAGGGTAAATGTGCACAGTGCAAGATCATGGTGTCTCATCCGGATAGAAGTGCAAGTCATTTCTGTTTTTCTTTACTTGATGCAAAACGGCTAGATACTTTCCTTATTTAGTATATTCTTCGTCTATTCCCATTTAATTTCTTTATCAAAGGGTTGCTGAAGTCCAGATTAAACCAGGTCCGCCATTGCCCCAGAAAGCACCTTATGCGCGCGATCCCCACAAAACCAACCCCACGAAACGCTAGACCGCGCTCTGCCTGCCAGGCTTTTTGCGGGGGTGGGCTTGATGGATGGATGAGGCTGATATGTATGCTGCATCCCAGGGAGCCCAGCCTGATTGGCCAATTTATTCCCTTTCCCCCTTCTTCCGGCAGCGCATCTGCATGGAAAATTAAAAGGCACCCTTTGGACAGAGCCAAAAAAGAAAAAGGAATCACGATGGAATCCATGCACCTGCTCCGGTTGACCGGGCCCAGGTGGTCGACGTTGCAGGTTTCTTGTTGTTGCGAAGGAAGGAAAAGCATGTGCTGCTTGGTATTAGTTTTAGAGGCAGTGAGGTTTCTGGTGACCTCACTCAACCCTCACCCCCCATCCCTCCGGATCCCCGCCTTGGTCCCTTGACTTCCCCTTCGTCCGCACGACCACCCCTCCATGCTACTTTGTAGTACCTATCACCCATCACTCTACTAGTCGCTCCTCACTCGCACTTCTAAACCTCCACCGAGATAAGGTCAATAAACCGCCATTTCCCGTGGTCCGAGATCGTGGTACCCAGAGAGGGAAAAGGAAACTAGACAAGAGCCGAGAGACGCTGGCAGAGAGATAGACAACTACTAGCAGGTAGGTTACCATCCATACATCTAGTTGTTTGTCTGTGGAGATCGCGGATTTTATATTAAGCCCCCATCATCTGCCCCTCTAATGCCTTCTTTCTTTGGACAGCCCAGCCAGCCCCTCCGTGGTTTTAATCATTACCTTGTACTTCTCCCGTATATCATATACACACATACATTACAATTTCCATCCAACCTACAGTACATAGATAACTAACTCTTCCTTACCATGGCACCCTCAAAGGCCGCAACCTCTGCTCCTGCTCCTGCACCCGCTCCCGCACCAAAGGTCATTGTGATGCCCAAATCACTCAACGAGTCACTCGCATCCACATCACCGCCCATGTCGACCGCCTCCTCTATAAAAGAGCCTATTGCGCGGCCCTCGCCCGGCGCGGGCTCGACGTTCGCATACCAGGACGGCCTGCCGAAGCTGCCCATCCCCGAGCTGGCAGACACGTGCAGGAAGTATCTGGATGCTGTACGGCCGCTGCAGACGGACAGAGAGCACCAGGAGACGAAGGCGGCGGTGAGGGAGTTCTTGAAGACGGATGGCCCGGAGCTGCATGAGAGGTTGAAGAAATATGCGAATGGGAAGAGCAGCTATATCGAACAGTTCTGTAAGTGTTTTTTTTGGGGGTTGTTATTTTTTTTTGGGAGGTGCACTCGCTGATTGAGGATGCAGGGTACGATTCGTACTTGAACTACGATAATCGTGAGTTTGTGATTTTTTGGCTTTTGCGGGGATGATAGTTGGGGCTTTTTTTTTTATGAATTTAGGCGCTAACTTTATCAATTAGCCGTCGTTCTCAACTTGAACCCTTTGTAAGTCCGGAATCATTATAGTTTGGTGGTTTATGCCCAAGTGCTGACTGAATTATGCATAAAGTTTCCTGCTGGAAGATGACCCAACACCGGCACGTAATAACCAGGTTACAAGAGCTGCTTCTTTGGTAGTGTCGGCGCTATCTTTCGTCAGGGCTCTTCGTAAGGAAGAACTTCCCCCAGACAAGGTCCGCAACACCCCGCTCTGCATGGTAAGTCATTCGCCCACCCATATATTTATTAACAACCTTTTTTTTATATGTATGATATGCTAATTTTTGCAATTCCAGTACCAATACCCACGCATCTTCAGCACTGCCAGAATCCCCACAGAAAATGGATGTGAAATGCACTCAGACCCCTCAGCACGCCACATTGTTGTTATGTGCCGCTCTCAGTTCTACTGGTTCGACGTCTTGGATGACAACTCGGACCTGATCATGACCGAGAAGGATGTTGCCCAGAACCTCCAAGCCATTGTCGAAGACGCAGAGACGATACCGATACAAGAGGCCGCCAAGAACGCCTTGGGAGTTCTCTCCACCGAGAACCGCAGGATCTGGGCCCATCTCCGTGATGTCTTGACCACCGATGCCAACAACGTTGAATGCCTGCGAATTGTCGACACCGCCATCTTTGTGCTGTGTCTTGACTCGACAGCACCAAAGTCCGGCTCCGAGTTGAGCATGAACATGCTCTGTGGAAGCAATGTGGTCGAGAAGGGTGTCCAGATCGGTACCTGCACGAACCGCTGGTACGACAAACTGCAGATCATTGTCTGCAAGAACGGGACTGCGGGTATCAACTTTGAGCACACCGGTGTTGACGGCCACACGGTCCTGAGAATGGCCAGTGATGTCTACACCGACACCATCCTGCGATTCGCCAGAACCATCAACGGAAACGCACCCAGCCTGTGGGCGTCCACTTCACCGGACCCAAGCAAGCGTGACCCGTCCAGCTTCGGCGATGTCTGCATTACTCCCCACAGACTAGAGTGGACCATGGTCCCCGAGGTCTCCTTTGCTCTCCGCTTTGCAGAGACCAGACTCGCCGACCTGATCCAGCAGAACGAGTTCGAAGTGCTCGAGTTCGAGGGCTACGGAAAGAACTTCATCACCTCCATGGGCTTCTCCCCCGACGCCTTCGTGCAGATGGCCTTCCAAGCCGCCTACTACGGCCTCTACGGCCGCGTCGAGAGCACCTACGAGCCCGCCATGACCAAGATCTTCGCCCACGGCCGCACCGAAGCCATCCGCACCGTCTCGGACGAATCCGTCGAGTTTGTCCGCAAATTCTGCGAGAACGCTCCCGCGCGAGAGAAGCTCGAGGCGCTCAAGAAGGCCTGCGTCCGCCACGTCGCCCTCACAAAGGAGTGCGCAAAGGGGCTCGGCCAGGACCGCCACCTCTACGCCATGTTCTGCGTGTGGCAGCGCGGCCTCGACGAGGAGTCGCACTCCCAGTTCGGCACCGACGCCTCCTCGCTCAACGGCATCAGCAGCGACGGCTACGGCTCCTCGCCCGTCGACGGGCCCTTCGAGCCCGGTAGCCCCGGCCTCATCAACGGCAGCAACCAGGTCCGCCCCCGCAGCTTCTCCGACACCAGCTCCATCTCCGGCTCCGCCCGTGACACCGTCCAGAAGCCAACCCAGAGCATCCCGGGCATCTTCTCCGACGCCGGCTGGGACAAGATCAACAACACCATCCTCAGCACCAGCAACTGCGGCAACCCCTCGCTGCGCCTCTTCGGCTTCGGACCCACCTCCGGCGACGGCTTCGGCATCGGATACATCATCAAGGCCGACAGCATCTCCATCAGCGTCAGCAGCAAGCACAGACAGACAAAGCGCTTCGTCGACACCCTCCAGAGCTACTTCCTCGAGGTCCGCCACATGCTGCGGCAGACGCAGCGCCGCGCCACGAATTCCGCGGGCACCCGTGCGCGGGAGGCCGAGCTGAATACGGAGGCGGCCAACGCGGCGCGCGCGGCGGCGACCCTGCGCTCACGGAATAGGTCCGGGAGAGCGGTCGGAACGCCGAAGGGGAACTTGAGGCCGAATCTAAACGGCGGGGTGTCGGACGATAGCCATAGTGTGACGAGTAAGGAGGAGAGCGACGGCGAGGGAGGGATGCTGGGTGGGTATGGGTATTTCGATTCGGGGAGTGTCAAGCATCTTCTCAACACCGAGGAGCACCGGAAGCAGGCGGAGCTGAAGGCGGCGGGGTTCTCAAAGAGGGCGGTGGGGAGGAAGCTGAGGCTGGCTGAGTACTAGTTGGGTTGGAATTGATGGGAGAATGGGAGGGGAGGATGGGATGGGAGGAGATGCTTGTATGATAGCAAGGTTCTTTACTTACTGCGGGAGTAATTGGGTTTTGGTGGGGGGATACTTTTTTTGTTTATTAGCACTCTTTGTTCTTTTTGTCACGTTTGGATTTATGGTTTTTTTGTTTATATTCATGTTCTTCTTCTCGTTTTTGTCTTTTTTATGTGAAGCTATATACCTCAATGACTGGAATGGAAAATTAGATTGTCCGCTGGC